AAAACTAACCACGCTTCCTCTGCATACAAACATGTTTTTTATGGCAGTGAATTCGATCTGCATCGACCATTATTGATGCCCCTGCTTTTATCTATTGTATTGACATTTTGCTACGGTGAATTTTATTTCCAACTACTCGTTTCATTGCTAATATTCGCTTCAATTTTGATTGTGTGCATCTCGCAGTACTGCAAAATGCAGAGTGTTCGCCCATTGTGGTTGGATCAGCTTGATACAACCTTTGAAAGGAAATGCTGTTTATGTACAAATGAAAACTCGTTCCAACTGATTTGAGTCGTCCTTCTCCGTTTCCAATGCAGTGTCAAACCGCCAACTGCGTTGAGTGCGCTTGGACCATGCACATGCACTCTTCTATGTCAATGGTTGCCTTGTTGATGATAGAGTGTTCATGACCCACAAGCTCATCCGTGAACAAAATGACGGACGAAGGGCGGCGGCGGTAACGAGAGGCGGCTTGATTGCTCTTGGACCACGCATCATTCTACGTCGATAGATGACTTATTGACATTCGAGAGCCCGCGACATGTGTTGATCTCATCCGCCGAATGCTGATGAATCAACCTACTAAAATGAAACATGGGATAGGCGTGCTCCAAAGGTGGGGTGTTTTCCTTCCGGGAATGTTAAAAATATGAGTCAGGTTTATAACGTTTCCCAGCGAATGCCTAGATTTGCCATGAGAAAATAGATATAAAATTATTTTAGATATTTATGAACATATATAAAATCAATCGAGAATTAGCTAATTCTCAGTCAAGTAATATGAATGCATTGCTTTTTGATTTGTATGAATACATTTGTAAAATCAAATCGAGACTATCGGTGACAGAGGTCCCTATTTTTCCATGCGGGATTGCTAAATCTTTAACCAAGACACCCGTTTCCATGACACCTACACTATATTTGCAACCAACCACAAAAAGGATGCTCACATCAATCCAAAAGGATGTTCCTGTGCCACACATTCAAAAAAACATGTAGTGATTGTGCACAAATGATGTGAAAAGTAATAACTAATTTCACACGTATTAGAGAATTGCCCACTAATTTCAAAATGACAGGAAAAAAGGGTCAAAAGTACAAAGTGAAGAAACAAAACAATGGAGAATATTTTTTTTTGGCGGGAACAAACCTGGCCATGACTAGAAGCACCGGAGCAAGTCGAAGACATCCCTCCATCATCGCCCCTTCCTCACCAGAGCCGGGCAAACTTTGTTGTAATAGACAGTCGGAAAATCATCATGATATAGCCTTTATAGGACCAGCGCACCATAACAGCAACCGCCGCCGATGAAAAGAAGTGTAGATCGGAAGGATCTAACCTATAGACACACTACCGCTGACAAACGAAGACCAGATCCACGCAGATCCACTTGTAGACAAACGGAGAATCCCACGAGATTCACCGAAGACAGGCCTCCACACGTCCTTCGACGATGCAAGAAGCACCGGGGGCTAGGCAGGGAGAAACTTATTCCATCTACAGAAACCATGGACCATAAACAAAGATTCAAAGAAAGCACCCAGGACACGCAGGAACTATGTATACGTAGTTCATACATAATGATAAGATCATACTAACTTGTATCAAGAACTCACATCCGAATTTCAAAAAAAAAACTCACATCCGTAATGGTACTCCCTCCGTCCCAAAATTCTTAACAAATCTATGACAAGAATTTTGAGACGGAGGGAGTATTATCATGATACAACTTGCATATTGTCACACCTACCAGCGGGTTAGTGTGTCCTAGAGCTGGCTGGTGGGCCCAGCCAGCTGGCCAGCCAAGTGGCTGCGTGTGTGTGTGCGTTAAAGGGTGGCCGCCTGTGGCCGTGAGGGGCATGCGTGAATTGACAACTCCTGTACCGAATCCTTCCTCTGCAATTCATCTCTGCTTCTTCCTCTCCACGACATCTCCCCTCTCGCCCCCGATCTGGATCCCCTCTCCCTCTATGCTCCCCTGGGGTGTTACAACTGGTATTAGAGCCATCAAATCGCCGGAAAATTTTCTTCCTTGCTTGTTTGGGAGTCGGTAACATCCACCGCGCCGGTGTGGTTTGCTCCGGCAAGCCGCATGAAATCCATCGTGGGGTTCGACGCCCTTTCGAGCAGGACAACGGCTCCTTCCAAGGCTTCGGCGGCGACGCGGCAAGTTCTCGCCGCCATGGACGAGGGGAACACCAACATCACCAAGATGCTGGAGACGTTGCTCGCTAGAATCGACGACCAGAAGGCGGCGCACGAGAAACAGATCGAGCTCCAGGCCGCGTTCAATGCGCAGATCTCGCTGGAGATGCGCGGCCTCTCGCGCCAGCTCGATCTGACCTAGTCGGACCTCGACCTCACGCGCAAGACGGTGGAGGGAGCGACCTCTCCATCCGGATCGGTCACCACGCTTCTTCATCAGCCAGCGCAACCACAGCAACAACCACCACCGCCCCCACCTCCTCCTCCGCCGCCGCGCCCCATACCAGATCCAATGCACCCGTCGTCATTGCACGCGCGTCTAGGCGACCACCGCCCACCTCTTCTGCCCGTGCCACCACCACAAGGCGGGTTTGTCACCGCGCCGACCGCGTCTCCGACGGGGTACCACACCAATGAGTACCACAAGCCCCCGAAGCATGATTTTCCCAAGTTCGACGGCACGGCGCCATACTTATGGCTGGACCGCTGCCTCGCCTACTTCGAGCTCTACAAGGTAGCTGCCCACCACTGGGTCGCCACCGCGGCACTCTACATCGACGGCCAGGCCGCGCACTGGCTCCAAGCGTTCCGCCAGACGCACCGCAACATCACGTGGGACGTCTTCACGGCGGTGATACTGGAGGAATTTGGCGCCGACGAGTTCGAGATGGTGATGAACAAGCTGCTTCAACTCCGCCAAACAGGCACCGTCGCCGATTACCGCACCGCGTTCGACGAGCAGATGTACCACTTGCTCGCTCTGGATCCATCAATCAACACCAAGTTCTTCGTGACGCAGTTCCTCCTCGGCCTGAAGGACGAGCTGCGTGCCCCGGTGCGTCTTCAGGCACCTTCAAGCATCACGCGCGCCTCGGTACTCGCGCGCATCCAAGAAGAAGAACTGGGCACGACCCGCGTGCGACCCCGCATCACACCCGCGGGCCGGCCACCTCCAATAGCAGCCGCAGCAGCACTGCCACAACGCGCAGTGGCCGCGCCAGTTCGCGCCCACGGCGACGAGTACGCGCAGGAGCGGCAGCTGCGCGATTTTCGTCGCGCGAACAATCTCTGTTTCAAGTGCGGCGATCGCTACTCTCGGGGGCATCGCTGCGCCCAGCCCGCGCAGCTGCTCACAATCAATGTGGGTGACCACGGTGAGGTGCTCTCTGACGATACTATCCATGCCCTGCAACTCCTCGACGACCCTGGACCAGCTGTGCAACCCCCCGCTCCGGCAGTGGACGCGCCGGAGTGCTGCCTCCTCTCGTCGCAGGCGCTCGATGGTACCGACTCGGCGACGACGATCAGGTTGCGCGCGCTGGTGGGAAACCAGGTCATGCTTCTGCTGCTCGACTCGGGCAGCACTCACAGTTTCGTCAACAAGGCGTTCGTTGATCGCCTCGGTCTCGCCACGGAGGACATGCCACCAACTGAGGTGCGCGTGGCAAACGGCGACAAGCTCACCTGCAACCGCATGGTGCCCGGCCTAAAATGGTGGATGCAGGGCCACACCTTCGAGACGCCCATGCGCGAGCTGGAAATTGGCGCGTATGACGGCATTCTGGGCATGGACTGGCTCGCCCAGCACAGTCCAATGACATGCCACTGGC